CCAGCCACGCCACAATGTTCTGGTCAGCGCTGCTGGAGTAGTGGTAAAACGTGCAGGACTTGGATTTAATCCCAACGACCTCGGGAAAGGTGAGGGAATACGGCTGAGTGCTGAGCCAGAACTCACCATGATGGTGGGAGGGTGTGGATGTGGTCACAGAGGGGACAGGCAGATTTCTCCCCACATGGCCCATTTTACAGGCACTGCTGCAGCACGTGCAGCCTCTGTCCTTAACACAGGCTGGGCCCTGTCAGGGAAAACTGTAGTTTCTCTGCTACTTCTGGGCAGATGCTGCCATGGCTGTCCCTATCTGTGAGCATTTTGGGGAGGGAGGAGTCTCTGTGTGAAGCCCCCTCTCTTCTGACTTGGTTTTCCTTTTCTGCAGGGGTCTTTGGGCGCCGTCTGAACTTCTGGAACTTGTCCTGCCGCACCCTCACGCAGTGCTTTGACCTGGGGGAGGATTCCCTGCCTCAGTCTGTTAAATTCCTGCACAACCCCGATGCTGCTGAGGGATACGTCAGCTGCTCCCTGAGCGGTGTCATCTACCGCTTCTACAAGTGCAAGGCAAGTATTCTGCCAGCAGTCAGGGCAGACCAGGCCATGGTGAGCTACAAGGGGTTTGAGAAATACACAGAAGAAATTTGGGCTCACAGAGAGAAAGGAGGAGGCATTTGGGGGTGTCAGTGTCCAGACTCTGCTTCAGATGTGTACGCTCGAATGAGGGGGGTCTTTTATTCTTTATGCTACACAATGTAAGTGCTATTGCAACTGCTTATTAATTTGCACTTACTAGATCTGGAATAATAACTAAAGTAACATTTTAATTAGCTTAATTATTAAATAGGGATTGAAGTTACTTACCCTACCCTTTCTCTCAGCCTCCAAGGAGTAAGGGGTGTCACCTTTTATAGAATAAAGTGATTGACTGTCAGTCATTTGTTTCTAAGCCAGAACTCCTTGCTCAGCAAGACTTCTAGCTTAGCAAAATGTTTTTATCTCATAAGAACAATGTCTTCTTTTTATCAGTCTTCTTGTTTTCTCTCAGTCTGGGTCTGACTGGTTCACAGTGTTGTCCAACACCAAGGTACAGCCTGACCTTCTGGCATATCATAGAATCATAGAATGATTTGGGTTGGAAGGAACCTTAAAGCTCATCCATGGGCAGGGACACCTCCCACCAGACCAGGTTGCCCAAAGCCCTGTCCAACCTGGCCTTGAACACCTTCAGGGAGTATCCACAACTTCTCTGGGCAACCTGTTCCAGTGTCTCACCACCCTCACAGTAAAGAATTTCTTCCTAATATCCAGTCTAAATCTCCCCTCTTCCAGTTTAAAACCATTGCCCCTTGTTCTGTCACTACCTGCCCTTGTAACAAGTCCCTTCCCAGCTTTCGTTTTCTTCTCCAGGCTGAACAGTCCCAATGCTCTCAGTCAGTCCTCGTAGGGGAGGTGCTCCAGCCCTCAGATCATGTTCATGGCACTCCTCTGTACCCACTCCAACAGCTCCATGTCCTTCTGATATTGGGGGCCCCCAGTATCTGGCAGTTTTCTTTCACAAGAGAGCACCCAGAGTGGGGCAAGTGCCAAGTCTTTTCCCACTCTGAGGCAGAGCATCCTGCTACAGCAATGGCAGTGTCCCTCAGACAGCTTTGCTGAGCTGTGTGAGCGTGGGAGTTCACGGGAGTCCTCTTGCCTGATCAGCCAGGAACGCTCATGGTGCCTGTGTTTCTTGTGCAGAGAGACAACTGGGCAGTAGAGGAGGTGATTCGGATCCCGGCCAAGAACGTGACAGGATGGATCTTGCCCAAAATGCCAGGTTCCTGTTTCATTCTTCCTCCTAGAGCAATGTGTTGTGCAGCCTGGCAAAGCCCACTGGCTGACCCTCAAAGCCTTGCTGCATAAACACGATGGAAGGCTCATTGGAGGGGCTGAGGGGCTATGCAAACACTCAGGTATCTGCCTCCTCTAGAGCTCTGTGTTTCTGTGCCCCACAGCCTTCCCACCTGCATTTGGGCAGGACTCCTGTGCTGGAGGCATGACGTAAAAATGGCAGAGAGAGATGCGGGCTGGAGCTTGATCCAGAGTGCATTTCAGCTGACACTGCCTCCTCTAGTGCTCTGTGTTTTTGTGCCCCACAGCCTTCACAACTGACCTCATCATCTCAATGGATGACCGGTACATGTACATCTGCAACCGGCTGCATGGAGACATCCGCCAGTATGAGCTCTCCAGAAACTGCAAGCCCAGGCTGGTGGGACAGGTAAGGCAGGAGCAGAAGGGCTTGCTCTGCTGGCGTCCTCAGCAGGATCTGGTGCTGGCTGGATGACAAGGCAACATCTCCCACTGCCTCACTTACAGGTGTTTGTGGGAGGCAGCATCCTCAGAGGTGGACCTGTGATCGTGTCTAGAGACGAAGAGTTGAAGTGCCAGCCAGATCCCTTGGTGATCAAGGTGAGTTTGGTGGCCTCTTGGCCTGCTGGTGTCCTGCTGGCTCTGCTCTGCCACTTCCCTGCCCAGGG